CTACTCTTTTTAAGTGTTGTTTGCTTCATATTTTTTTTTTCCATCCTTTGAGTTTTAGCCTTTTTGTGTCTTTAAGTCTAAGGTGCATCTCTTGTAGGCAGCATATAGATGGATCATGCTTTTTTATACAATCTGCCATTCTCTGTCTCTTTATTGGTGCATTAAGTCTGTTTACATTCAACATAATTATTGATAGGTGTGAGTTTTGTGCTGTCATTCTGATGTCTCTTTTTGTGTGTTGTACACAGTTTCCTTTTTCCCCTTAATTTTCTGTGCTGTTTTTCTTAATGTATTTTTTTTTCTATCTTTTTCACTGTTGTGGATTTTTTGTTTGCTGGGTCTTTATGTTTTTCTACTTGTTTATTTTGATTTGTAGGATTGTTAGATTCCTTAGTGGTCACCTTAATATTTACCCCTATTTTTCTAAGTTTATACCAGTCTTTTATTACTTTATATTGTCTTGACTTCCCCTCCATATAAAAAATCAATGTCTGCAGTTTTTAAGTCCCTCTTTTTTGTTTTAATGTTGTCCTTTTTTACATATTGACATCTCTGTTTCCCTATTTTCAATGTTTTAGCTTTGATGAATTTTCGACTTCCCTATCTGAGTCAATATCTGGTTGCTCTGTCCTGTGTTCTAGTCCTGCGTTATCTGATGTTATTGATTTTCTAACTTGAGGACTCCCTTCAGTATTTCTTTTAATTTTGTCTTGGTTTTTGCACTTTCCCTAAACTTCTGTTTATCTGGAAATGCCCTAATTTGGCCATCATTATTTGAGAGACAGTTTTGCTGCATATATATAATTCTTGGCTGGCAGTTGTTTTCCTTCAAGGCTTTATATATGTCATCCCATTGCCTTCTTGCCTGGTTGGTTTCTGCCGAGTAGTTCGAGCTTATTCTAATTGTCTCTCCTTTGTAGATGACTTTTCTTTTATCCCTAGCCGCTCTTAAAATTCTCTCTTTATCTTTGGTTTTGGTAAGTTTGATAATAATATGTCTTGGTGACTTTCTTTTGGGATCTACCTTATGTGGGGTTCGATGAGCATCTTGGACAGATATCTTCTCATCTTTCATGATATCAGGGGAGTTTTCTGTCAACAAATCTTCAACAATTTTCTCTGTATTTTCTGTAATCCCCCCTGTTCTGCTACTCCTGGGTTATTTCTCTTGATAGAGTCCCACAGAACTCTTAGAGTTTCTTCATTCTTTTTAATTCTTTTATCTGATTTTTCCTCAAATAAATTGGCATCAAGTGCTTTATCTTCAATGTCACTAATTCTGACTTCTACTGCCTCTGTTCTGCTCGTATGACTTTCTGTTGAGTTGTCTAATTCTGAAATTTTATTGTTAATCTTCTGGATTTCTGATTGCTGTCTCTCTATGGATTCTTGCAGCCTATTAAATTTGTCATTATGTGCTTGAATAACTTCTTTAAGTTCCACTACTACTTTGTCTGTATGTTCCTTGGTTGTTTCTGCATTTTGTAAACTTTCCTTTCTAATTTCTTGAAGAGTTCTGTATATTAATCTTTTGTATTCTGCCTCTGGTAATTCCAAGAAATTCTCTTCCTCCAGAGAATTTATTCTTTATATTGGGAGCTTGCTGAAGCCATCATGGACTGCCTCTTTATGTAATTTGATATTGACTGTTGTCTCCAAGCTATCAGTAAGTTATTATAATTTTATCTTATTTTTTTTAGTGAGTTCTAGCTTCTTGTTTTGTTTTGTTTTGATATGCCCCAATAGGCTGCTCCTGTGCACTAGTTTGATTATTGGTGCCTTTGAATCTCTAATGTCCTATAACCAGGTAGTTAGTTCTGTAACTATGTGCACACAGAAGTCTGTTAAATTTTCCTATATGGGTTCAGCTCAGGTGTCCAGGCAGTCGGTCACCAAGTGTGTGGTGCAGGCATGGGTGACTGGCGTAGGCACTGGTATCTGGCTGTGGTAGGGGGTCATGCACTGACCCAGGCAGGGGGCTGATGGCTGCCCCTGAGAGTCTGAAAGGAAAGCATGTCTCTATTCGCTAGGGTGAGTAGGTAGGTGAGTTTTGCAGCCAGACTATGAGTACCCCACTCTGTTGGCTGTAAAGACTCGAGGGCACTTTTTCTTGGACTCACGTAGCAGGTGACTAGGTGGCGTACGTGAGGCCACCAGTCCTCAAGCCTGTAGTGCAGATCGGTAAAGATGCCTGCTTAAGGAGCAGGGCTGTGTCAAGGGTCACAAATCTGCCACTTCACAGCTGAACAGTTGAAGTTAAACTTCAGATGTTTACCTGGTTGTACTTCGGTAGTGAGGGCTAACACTGCTGAGATGGGTCCCCACAAGTCTATACACGGGGGTAAGACACTCAAAGTCTGCGTACCCCTTATGCCGGTGCCTAACAAAGGAGCTGTGCTGACCCTGAGTTCCTGGCTTAGGGGAGCCAGTAACTTATTTGTTCCCTCTCCAAGGCCAGGAGAGTGGGTCAGGGTGCCTTTTAGGATCTACTTCCGGCTGAGTAGGCTCCAGGTGCAGAGCAGGGAGGGAGGAGGCAAAAGGGAGAGAGATTTTTCCCAAATGGGCTTTTTTCTTTTTAAATCCCCGCAAAAGGCTGCATGCATGTACCTATCTTTAGCCACTTGGGAGCTGCTTTTCCCTGGTTCGGAGTGTCCAAGCAGAATCTCTGCTGATGGATCTCTCTCGATGTGGAAACTGCCTCTGGAGTGCGTGCGCAGCTGTTTGCCTGCTTCACTGCAAACCTGGAACGGCTGAAGAGTTGCATGCAGTCCTGCTGCTGCCACTCTGGTGCTCCTCAATGCTTCCAAACCGTCTCCCTCTCCCCCCGCCACTCAGTCCGATTCCTCAACTTTGCCTTGTTCAAGGCTCCTAGATATTCATATACAATCAAATCACTTGTTTTTCCTGGTCTTTGTGGTAATAGTGATATAGGAAGCCATCTGACTACTCTGCCATCTTGGCCCCACCTCTAGATACTACTTTTCTTTTTAAAAAAAGAAATATAAAGCAACTGTCCTATTCTCATGTGAATGGTGTTGAAAAGTGGTGACAGCTGAAAAATCACAAAAAGATAGAAATATAACAGATCAAAACCAATCTTTTTAGTCTTATTCTCTAAGTCAGCTGTTTGACAAAGCATATGGACTATTAAAAAATCATTTGTCTCATCCAAACATTTTAACTTGTTCCCATTCACTTTAATTAGTGGTAGTGGCTGCTGTAGATGGAAGGAAGGGTAGAGACCTGTGTATGTTAATTTAATGTGTCAAATTAGCTAGGCTCTGGTGCCTAGTTGTTTGGCCAAAAACTAGTCTAGAAGTTGCTGTGAAGGTATTTTGTTGATGTGATTAACACTTATAATCAGTTGACTGTACATAATGGAGATTACCCTTGATAATGTGGGTGGGCCTGACCTAATCAGTTGAAGGCCTAAAGAGTAAAAAACTGAGTTTTCTTACAGGAGAAGGACTGCTGCTTCAAGACTATAACACATACAGCCTGCTGAAGTTTCCAGCTTGTAACCTGACCTCTGGAGTTTGGACTTCCCAGGCCCCACAATCTTAGTGAGACAGTCCTTAAAATAAATATAAATCTATCTATCTATATGATTAACATATGAGAAAGGTTTATCAAGTGTAAGTCTAAGATAACAAAGGTTTCTTATGGTGATTCTAAAACATCTCTGCACATTATAAATAATTGTTTTAAACACAAGCTATATGGAAAACAAGAGGAACAATTACATTTAAGAGACAGTTCTTCAGAAAGCAAAAGAACAGGACTGAGTTTATTTAAGTAATCAATGCATTTTATTTCCTAGAAATGAAATAGTCTACAGTTCTATAGTTAAACTTCCAAAAGTAAAATCAAAACATTTTTTATCAGAGCCCAAGGGAGAGGGGCAGGGTTGAAAGAGATAAGAGATGAAGAAAGGCATAGAGAGAACCTAGGAAGAGGCTGGGAGGGGCACTTATTCCCTCTGTTCTCTTAGTAGGCTACATATCAGATCTGGTGACAACACTGAGGGGATCACATGAGTTATGTGGATGGGAAATGACACCACAAGGAACACCAGAGCCCCAGCTACAAAAGGAAATTCATCAAGCCCCAAAGAGAAAGAGAGCCTCCCGGTGCATCTCAGAAATGGGAGTGGCAACGGGAGAGCCGGGAGCAGAGAGGAGGCACTCTAGGGGTAGGTGGTTTTCTTTTTTTTGGGGGGGGGGGTAATTAAAGTAATTTCCTTTAAAAACAAAAAAAAGTCTTTTCTTTATGACTGGGTGAATGACTGTAAGATGTCCTTGAGGTGTGCAGAGAGGGAAAAGGGCCTCCAGGGATCCCCTCAGGGCATCCACCTGTGGACTCAGAGATATAAATGGGGACACATATTCCTCATCGTTCACACCCACATGGGACAAAGTCAACAGTCAGATCTCAGGCCCTCTACCCCAACAACTTGGAAGCCTCAAAACTTTTTGATGAAAAACTACAACACCCATAATTCCCTGAGTGTGCAAACGGTTTTAGGGAAGAGAGGCCCCTCTCCACAAGTATGGCAGGAAGGGACAGGAGGTCAAGATGTCACCCTCCCCCACCCACCCCCCCAATTGCGGATTTCCCCTTCTAGGCTCCTGTATGTCCACCCTGCTGCTTTATACTCCACCCTTTCCACTCCTACCTGATCCCAATCTGAGTTCCGGAAAGCTGGTGGGAGGGAAAGAGCAGTGTTAGTAGGTGGAAAAGGCTGCTCCAAGCCCCACCGGAAGCCTTGGGAAACACCTCCAGGAAGGGAGAGACACAGTAGCCCTGATTCAGATCATAGGAATGTGAGGACAGGGAGGTAAGGACCAGGTGGCCTGCCCAAAGCAGGTCAAGGCCCAGGGACCAGGCTTGGAGAGGGAAGGGAAGGGGGAGGGGAGGGGAAGAGAGAGGAATAGGGGGTGGTGGGAGAGAAGGTTGGGGTAGGGGAAGACAGTCCCAGATTGCGGGCCATGGCTAGATACCCCAGTAACAGCCAGGCAGCAACTGGAATGGGCAGGGCTCTTCTGAAACGTTGGTGACTTTGAGCTCTCCTGATCTCTGACCCCTGGGGCCTCAGCCCCCTTCTCCGGAGCTTCTTCCACTTCCTCAGGCTTCCGCTCTTCCAGAGGCGGCCGACAGACTGAGCTGGGCTCCAAGGGGGAGCTGCTATTCTCTGCCTCCACCAGGAGGGACCTCTCACCACCGACCCCGGCCTCTTCCTTCTCCTCCCGTTTGGGCTCGGCCTCCTTGGAACGTTAGGGGGAGTCCTCTGGCAGGTGTCCCGCGCCCCTCTTCAGCGCCGCCTTCTCCTTCTCCTCCTTGGTTGGCTCCTCGAGGGCTGGCTTCCCCTCCTTGTCACAGAAGCCCTCGGTGGTCCTCTTCTTATCCCCGGCGCCCTTGGTGGTCTCTAGGTGGGGCTCGATCCCACAGCTCTTTTCTTGGGAGAAATGGCAGTCAGAAGCCTTGACAGTAGACTTGTACTAGATCTCCTACAGCCCCGCACTGAACCTTCTCCTCTTGTTCGGTTTGCCAGACTTCTCCTTGGATTCTTCCTAAGGGAAAAGATTTTGGGGGCCCAGGAATACCGTCTCATGGGTCCTGAAAAAAAAAGACTTGGTATCTGTTGGACTCGCTTGTCTGTTATATGCGGGCGGGCCAGTGCATGAAGCCCTTAAGCTTTGCAGACACCAAGCCCCCACATCTGTACTTGCACCAGTTGTGGAGCGACATGGCAGAGGGCTGTGGGACCCTCTCAGCGGCGGCCGGAAAGGGCGTCGCACAATTTTCATGTGCAGCGGTGGGGACCGCTGAGCTTCAGCGACCACGCGGCCCCGCCTCGAGGGCGCCCCCTGCCAAATACCCTCCCACTTCATCCTGCCCCCTCCCCCCTTCTCCCTCCCTCTCCCCCCCCTTCTCCCTCCCTTCCCCCCCCCCTCACCTTCTGGCTCCTCGCCCCAGCTCCTGCCTGGGCTTGGCGCCCCGCGCTGACCCGCTTGCGCAGATCACGGCCCAGGTTCTGGATCCCAGATAAGATTCTGATACTAAGTGCATTATCTCTGAAATCAAAAGCCAGTTTTGACTCCACCTTAGACACCATGGTTTCTAGAGTTATAAAGCAAATAGGATGCTCCATCCCTTCCACTCCTATCTCTGATCCCAAGCAGAGCTCTAGAATGCCTGGGGGAGGGAGAGAAAGGTGGTAGTTGTTCTGGAAGTGGCCTTTGGCTAATCCAGCTCTAGGGCATCTGAGCTGTGAAGATTGCATAGTTTCTGTGTGACAGAGTGGCCTAGAAAGGGAGAAATGGGGCAGTGTGGCAAAAAAACACAGTGGCACAATTAACACATATTTCAGTGAAAACTAGTAACAGGCTGGGGGTTCCTAGGTGGTGAAAAAGGTTAACTGCTTGGCTGCTAACTGTAAGGGTGACAAGTTTGAATTCACTCAGAGGCACCTTGGAAGAAAGGCCTGGCAATCTTTTTTCCAAACTGAAAACCCCTTGGAGCACAGTTCTACTCTGAAGTGCATGGGGTCACCATGAGTCTAAATCAACTAGAAGCAACTTGTTTGTTTGTCTTAGTAACAATCTAGTGCAAAGTGCAATATCCTTGTGAGCTTCAATCTGCTCACAACAGAAAAATCCACTCCTGCCTCAGGAGCCATTGATGAGATAGCTAGGTCAATGATTTCAACCCTCTTCAGATTTCCTTGGGGGCTAACACGGGAGCAAATGAGGCTCAAAAATAAGGTGGATGTCTGGCAAAGGGATGGACTCGGCAATTGTTAAGATGTCTTAGAGTACATATCACTTGGTCACAAAACTTCTAAACATTTAGTATGTTTTTAGGATATACATATATATCAATCAATATCAGGGGCCCTGGTGGCACAGTGGTTAAGCATTCGGCTGCTAACTGAAAGGTTCATGGTTCAAACCTACCAGAGGTTCCGTGGGAGAAAGATGTGGTAGTCCACTTGCATAAAGATTACAGCGTTGGAAATCCTGTGGGGCAGTTCTATTTTGTCCTATAGCGTTGCTATGCGTGAGGATCGACTTGACGGCAATGGGTTTTATGTCAACATCATGACCATGCCAAACCAACCGCATCAAAATTTCCCGCTTTGTATACATAGGTTTCCATTGGATGCCCAACTTGGACTTTACCTTTTCAATGATTCTTGCATACTGTGAAAAGATAAAACTATATGGTGATAATGCTGAAAATTCTCCAAGAGAGGAGAACTGGTCATTATGAGTAAGAACTTGGTAGAGGTCTGTTCATATCAAATATGCAGTTGGCAACTAGAGCTTAAAAATCGGCTACCGACTAAAAAGGAAAATCTCAGCTGAGAGACTATTTTATGAAGAGACTTTTCTCCAGATCAAGACTATTTTAAACTTATTTGAATGAAAGTTTCAGTCAGCTGTAGTTGTTACTCATTCTTGTGTATCTTTTTTGAGTCTTGCTAGCTAGCCATGAGCATGCACTTGGAAACCTAGCCAAAATCATCCTAATGGTACTACTCTTGGCTATTATGACAAAGACTTTTCAACCTTAACCATTTATTTAACTAGACAGATGTTCCTTCCTAGTGTAACCAACAGCAACCAATGGAGAATTAGAACCATTATCCCGCTTCAGGACAACTCAAATTTGTTTCCGGTTTGCTAGGTTAGATCATCCATTTTACCTCTGGGTGGTGGAGACCAGCCTGGGGAAGAGTTTACCTTCTCCTACAAGGTGAGCCAAATAAGATGTACTTTGATGATTCTAAACAAGTTCTTTTAATGTTTCTAACAAGCCATTTTCTTAGAATGTCTATCTGCTCTATAAATATCTACCAAAGAAAAACTGAAATCCACTGCCATTGAGTCAATTCTGAATCATAGTGACCCTAAAGGATAGGGTAGAACTGCCCAGTAGAGTTTCCAAGGCTGTGAATTTTTACGGAAGCAGATTGCCACATCTTTAACCTGTGGAGCTACTAGTGGGTTTGAACCACCAACCTTTCAGTTAGCAGCTAAGTGCTTAACCACTGTGTCACCAGGGCTCCTTATAAATATCTATGGCTTTATCAATAAGTAACATCAGCAATTCATCAGCAATTCATTCACAAATTGACACTGTGCTACAAAGGTGAATTTGACACAATTCTTCCACCCAACCTTATAGAGAAAGTGCTAGAAAACTAGAAGTATACAGTGGCTATAGAAGGAGACAGGAAATCATGGGCAGCTATGGAGCCCATAATGGGAAGGAATTTGGAGTTTCTGTAAGCAGACATCTTGCTACATGTGACCTTTTTTTCTCAGCTACTAAGTATGCTGTACTAATGCATAGATCATGTACCAAGGTTGGTCAAGGAGGAAAAAGCTTGACTAGACAGTATGTCCAGAAAGGGTAGTTAGTTATGCCACCTCCCAGCCTGAAGGCATGACCAAACCTAAAAGCCAACTGCTCAAAGTGAGTATGATCATAGACAGATAGACCACACTGTACAAGATAAACACCACAGATTAATTGTTGGGTAGTTGAACAGGTGAACAGGTATGAGAGTATTAATTGAACTAGGTATCTGAGAGTTAGAGCAAATAGCCAGAAACCTGGCAAAAACTGAGGCAAAAAGTATAATAGGAAATAGAGGCAAAAAAGTCTAGTAGAGAAGGATTTAGCTCCACAAAAGGCACTACAGATTTTCTGAGGCAAAGGAGTGTTATTCCCCAGCCAAAAAACAAACCAAACCCATTGCCATCAAGTCGATTCCAACTCATAGCGATCCTATAAGACAGAGTAGAATTGCCTCAAAGGGTTTCCAAGGAGTGGCTGGTGGATTCAAACTGCCGATCTTTTCGTTAGCAGCTGGATGCTTAACCACTGTGCCATCAGGACTCCTCATTTCCCAAGTAGATGTTTATTAATGAGATTGAGTAAGAAGGTTCAGGCAGTGGGTATGAAGGTCTATGATGTACTCAAAATTGTGAAGTATAATTTCATTATGGATAGGATTTGGCTATTATCATTAGGCTAAAATGAGTGAAAAGGTTATACCAAAAGTAGTAGTGTCTTAAACAAGGACACTGAAAGCAGAATGAAGAAAAGTTCTCCACCAGTGGAATTACACATGTTCTTCAGTTTTAGTGCAATTTCTTCTCTAAGAAACCAATAAAAATTCTTGTTACTTAGACATGTTATTTTGAAAAATAACTTTCTTCAAATAAATGTATCGCCTAAAGGTAGCTTATTCTAGAAAGGGGAAGAGGGAGGATGGTTGAATGAAAGTAGAATGCATTTAAAGTGTGTTATATAGAGGATGGGAGTCCCTGGGATGTGCAAATGGTTAACCCAGTTGGCTGCTAACCAAAAGGTTGGAGGTTCAAGTCCATACAGAAGTGCCTTGGAAGAAAGGCCTGGCAATCTACTTCCAAAAAATCAGCTATTGAAAACCTTAGGGAGCATAGTTCCACTCTGACACACGTGGGGTCACAATAAGTCGGAATCGTCTTGACAGCAACTGGTAAATAAAGGGAACGTTCATAGATACTTCATTCCTTTTATACCTGCATTTTCAGAAATACAATTAAGTGGAGTGGTCTTGGCTTCATTTATCTTTGAAACAGATTTGTTTTTGAAATTATGGGCTCCCTTGCTCAAAATGAGGAGAGTAGGGAAGTGGTGTTCGTAGTAACTTTTTTAGGTTTAGATTTGACTTTTATATAAGCAAAGTAGTCATTAAAAACTACAATGATTAATTTTCTGGAACTAGACCTGCATGAGCGCAAATATTTCTAATAGATAAGGGTGTTTTAAAAATCAAATGTACCAAGAACACCTGTTTATAAAAAGGACCTAATTGCAGCAGCAGCATACCTATCAAAACACCTTGATGTCCAAAACATATCACACTTTCTCAGTTTCCTTTCCTGGAGAACTAACAATAAGATTTAAAAGCTACTTGGCAACAATTATGAAACATGGGCAATAAAACATAACTGTACGAGAGAGAATAGATATCTGATGTTTTCTTGTTTAATTAGTTTCAAATTCAATTAGTTTGGTGTAAACTATGATTTAAAAGAAATGTAGTTGTTTCCTATGTGCTTTTGTCTTCATTTAAAAGTATTAACTGCCTCTGGATTTACACAGAAAACCTTGGTGGTGTAGTGGTTAAGTGCTATGGCTGCTAGCCAAAATGTTGACAGTTCAGATCTACCAAGTGCTCCCTGGAAACTCTATGGGGCAGTTCTACTCTGTCCTGTAGGGTCACTATGAGTTGGAATTGACTTGACAGCAACAGGTATTTTTTGTTGTTGTTGTTGGATTTACACAATTTATACATGGTTAGTATTTGTGGTCAAGGCCTTTCTTTTTAAAATTATACAGAAAATAAGTTGCCCCCTCCTCACCCACCCATGGGTAGAAAATTCCCCGCTGTCCTTAAAATGTCACAGGAGGTCTGCTTCCTCTATATATATATGCCACTTCTACATTTTTGTTTGTGTCTATTTAGCTGAACCTTTAAAGCCCCAGGAATTTCTGAAATCCAAGGGATCTGCTCGGGGCAGGGATAAACTCAGCATCTGTGGGAATGCCCAAGGAGCTAAAGGATAATTTAAGGGTTTGTCTTAGTCTGGGTTCTCTAGAGGAGGAAAACCTGTGAGACATATATGTTGTTGTTTTTAGGTGCCATCGAGTTGGTTTCAGTGCACAGCTACCCTAAGTACAACAGAACA